ATCGTTTGATCGTGCGGGATTTTCAATTGGGGGTGGGGGCACTGTCATCACGGGAGCGGGTACGTTGGCAATCACACTTGGGACTGACCGTTTAGGGGTAATCTACTCTAAATAGGTGACAGGTCCGGATACAAACCCCTGTTTTGCAACGCGGCCAGCTCAGCCTTAGCCATGGCTAATTTAGACGAGTCTCCTTCCCTAGGGTAATCTTCCCCTTCGAGGAAACTCGCACCAAACTTTCGCTCCATCTCTTTTGCAGCGGCCATGATCTGTTGCAGCGTATGATTGTTGGGGGAGAACTGTTTTCGCAGTTTCACACTCATCGTTCTGCTGCGAAGTACGTCGATGAACAAATCTCTTCCTACTTGCTCACCTCGCTCTCTTTTCACAAACATTCGGTAAAAACAGGGGATTTGTGAAAACCTCACAATCAGAGAAAACCGAACATTTCTTATAGAATGAAAAAGTAAAAGTCAAACTGTTTTTTTTTACACAAAAAGAGAGCGTTTTTATACAAAAAGAGAGGCAAAAAATCAGGTGAAAAATCTAGCGTTCCTCAAAATGTGCAAGAAAACTCTTCCTAACAAAATGTTTTTATATGACTATAAGTCATTCTTAGTAGATTGGCAAAAAAACTAAGTTCAATCAGGGTAATTTTTAAGGATGACAAGACAAACTTGAAAGATGTAAAAAAAAACGTGTTTTGGTGAATACTCATTTATAGGACTATAAGTCAGTTTCCGCAGTTAGGTAAAAGTCAAGCTCTACACAAAATCATTTATAGGACTATAAATCACTTTTGAACTTAACAATAAAACCCTTATCAAAAAATATATGTAATTTAAAATAAGAATACAAACAATTTTTGCCTCGGAGACACCTTGAAATTCTTAGCCAAACACGAGTTTAAAATAAAAATATAGGGAAAAAAAAAAAAAACAATAAAAAATAATATATTCGCCCATGTATAGGAAACAATGTTCAAGCGAACGAATTCACGAGCAGGAGAATATGTTTGCGCGTTTGAAAACCCCCCGAATAAATCCATCGTGCTACACATCTTATAGGACTATAAACACAATTTTTTTGGATAACAAAAAATCAGGATATTTCAGTTCTTGAACCTACGGTGCTTCACCAGATCGCAATTTTTTATGAAAAAAACCGTTTTTTTCTCCCCCCTTCCAGTAGTTATGAAAATATAATTTTCTGTTTTTTTTTTTGCGGATGTTTCACTTCACGTAGAATTTTGTTCCTGGAGGAGACCTGAAAAACGTACTATCAAAATCATGAATAAATTTCGTGCAAACCTAACAATTTGTTTTGTTATGTTTTCACGAATCCTATGTTTAAAACCGATTTTGGTATTCCGTGACAGACTCGAGGGGTTTCTGGACTCGATCTTTAATCATAAAGAGTGCTTGTTCTGGATGGATATAATCAAACCGAGTCAGAAAATCTCGCTCGAAAGTTGAAAGATCAACCCATACATAGGTACTAAACCAATGATGGGCGTCCCCTCCTAATCGAGCGGGGATGTTCACCTGAGCTTCGTTGTCATCATACTGCTGCGCCCGGAGCATAGCTAGCCATGCTTCAGCAAGATGATGCACCGGATCAACAGATAGAGATCTGGTGGCATCCTAGGAGCCCGTGCTCGCAGTACGGGTTGATTAGGATTTTGTTGCTGATTGGGGTTCTGCTGTAAATTCGGATTTTGTGGATTAGCGTTCATCTTGGTCGCCCGTCAATTAGCCGATCTGCATCTAGTGACGACGGGGTAGCATTGATGCGCGTTCCGGGGTCGAGGTCGCCCTCGGTTAGCCAGATCGCTCAATCATCGTGTTGTTAATCCTACAACCCGGCCACGTGTCGGGCTCCGATACCAACCTCACGCCCAGCGCGACTTCCTGATCGGAGTGGGATGTGGGCCTGGAAGTGCGAAAAGGGGTGTGCCAAGGATTTTTGGGAAAGTGGGGGTGGAGTCCCAGGTAAGAACAGAGATTTTTTGTGGCAAGGTTCCAGGGGCACGGGTGCAATAGGGCTAAGGGCGAGTTTCTTCCGGTCTGCTGGCGTTCTATATCATGCGGCGTAAGGCAGATGACATGCGTGGTGCTTTTAAGGCTGTCCGATCCGCCTGTCTTGGTGGCGGTGGTTCGAGGAGAGGCCCGTCCAGGATGGTTGTGATTCAGATGAGCCGGTCCTTTGGGTGCAGGCACGGGGCGTCTGTCGTCGCGTGTTTTGGTTAGGTCCTCAAGTTTCAGGGGCTCGTCGGTTACAGCGCCACCGACAATTTTCGCAAGGCATGCGGGGCCAGTACGGAGCGATGGAATTCCACGGTACCACCGTGAGTTGGTGATACGGGAGGAGGAGACGGAAGGGAGGGAGGTTAGTAGTGATAACAACGCCGGGGGATATGAAGTAATGGGTGTTGTCCGAAGTGGGAAAATCGGGGCACCTCGGATCGCTGGTGGTGGCACAGTGAAACTCCCTAGGGAACAATCGATTCTCGGTTAGGCAGGGGAATTCTTGGCGCCTCTGTTTAAGACACTCTCTCACCCAAGGGTCGAAATACTCCGGATCCCACAATGAATCTGAGTCCCTTAGTACGTCATCTTGTCATTGCGGTGTGATAGAATTCTTCCGCGCGCATCTAACTGACAAGGGGGATTTTTTGATGTGATGTCGGAACTCCTTTCCGTTTAGGTGCGTGGGGGAAAGGATCTTCCCCCCTACCCGATATCGAAGGTGTGAAGTTTGTCAGTGGTTACGAAGCGGCGCGCATAGATATGTGTAGGCTGAGCAGATCTGATCGTGCTTACACGCATCCCCATGAGGTGTTCGCTCACTTCTAGACAAACAACTACCCAATCATCTAATCACTCCGTGATCCCACGCACAATCGTTCTTGAGTATGCAAGGTGCTGCAACAACAGTAGCTAAAAAGGGGATAAACAACAATGAAAGAAATAGTGATGACTATGCAAAAATTCCTACTATGCTCATGAGTGTATCAAATGACAAACAAAGGCAAGGACTAGACAACTGAAAAACAACATACATGACATTCATTCATCCATTCATTCGACAAAGCACATAACAAATGAGATCGAAGTCGCAAAACAAGTGTGGGTAGAAACCAAACCAAGATTCCAAAAACAAAAGAGAACGGGCGAATCAGCCCGAGCCGAGATCAAAATTTATGTACAAAAGTAAAGAGGGAGAAAAGACAAAGAAAACTGCAACTCCACATCCATCAACCTCAGCTCCCTCTTCCTCTCTCTCTCTCTCTGATGCGGACAGTCCGTCGTCATGCACCAACCCACGAAGTTGTCACCCCGCTTAGTCCTCCCGCATCCGTCATGTTCGCCCGCGCCCACAGTCCGTCGTGGCCCGCGTCAACCTCGCGCGTTTGGCACCAGCTCGTCGGGTCGCCCGATTCCCACTTCCACTCACCTCTTACTTCGCTCGCGAGCCGACCCTCACCGCTCACGCTCCCCGAGCTTCCAACAACTGGTTAAGAGAGCTATCTAATTGCGCAACTGGAATTTATAGCATACAACACGAAATTACAAAGACTTAGGAAAGAGATCAAGGGAGGGAGCGCCTACGTTCTGCATGGCCATATCGCGGCGTGGGGGACGTAGCCTCTCTCCACGCATCCATCCGAGCATGTAGTCCGTGGGCTGGCTAGACGAGGCAAGAGAAAGCGAGAGCGGGAAAGACGAAGTTCAAGAAGAAAGATATTGTTACAATGGCGCCTGCCCAAAATTACAGTTACACACACGATTAAGGGCGTCGACTAATCAGAGTTCCGTTGCAGCCGCACAAAGAAGCACGTAAGCCAAAAAGCGACGCACGGCAAAAGAAAATCCTAATTGCAAAATTCCTAAATTCCTATCTAATGCAGAAAAAACGAAAAACACGAATTCCGAAAAGAAAGTCCGAAATTCCAAGATCCATTGGGGCTCGACAAGTTTCAAAAAGAAAATTAAAAAAGAACGAAGCAAAATTCTCGCGCGGTCTCCGCTCCTAAAATCCAACAACAGAAAATGAAAAGGAACGATGTCAACCAGTATTATTTGCACGCTCGACGACGGCGCATCAACCATTAGTCTTCCCCGGGACTTGCCCGGACCGCCGACAATTTCCGCAAAAAGAGACAACGCAAAAAGAGACGATTCAAAAAGAAACGACGCAAAAAGACGAAGAAGCGAGGACACTGATGCAATTTCCCTTCAATCCCGATCCCCCGTAATTGGCCCATCCTTCCCAGCTTAGGACCCCTCGTCGCTACCGCGCAGAAAATCGCGCGAAACAGAAATCGGTTTGTCACATATGTGACGCCCAGGGGGTTCCAATCTTAAGCGAGCTCCTGCTTGCTTGAATCTTGACACTCGTCGATCTCTCTAATCGATCGACACGTGGAGCTTTCTACGTTGCCACTTACCGTGTGAAGGAGTGTGGACGTCATCCAATGTGGTATACGGGCTCCGTCCTACAAATTCCTCAGGAGGGCTCTCGTCAATCCAAGGAGGGGATTATTTGTGCCATCGTCGTGGCACGCACACCAATCAACCGATCATCAATGTCCACCGGGGAGAGGGAAGGGGAGACGATACATGGGGGCATGGCGAGGGGGAGGGTTAATCGAGAGCGGGGGTAAGAAACTTTTCATCCTCGCCACCGTTTTCGAAGCTCCTGATATCGGACGATCCGGTGGAAAAGGGGGAAGTGATTACCACTGTGGGGGAGGGAGACGAGGTAATCGGGATACAGAGTGGCGAAGGTTCAGAAGAGTGCCACGCGGAAATGGTCGTAGTTCTCACATGCGGGGATAGTCCCCGTTATCATGCAATAAACTTCGACGATATTATGGCCTCGCCACTCGGCACTAAGGAAAAGGGCGTGAAGGTAGAAGTGGGGGAGGGCGCACCGGGTCGAGGGATGGGGGTGAACAGTAAAAACGAGTCAAGTAACGTAAAAGAATCGGAAGGTATCGATGGGGAAGGGGTTACGGGGGAAAGTGACACGGGTGGTAATTTGGCGGAGGGTGAGATGGTCAAGGGGACGGCGAGATAACGACCGGGGACGAAGCCCGATGGCCCGCATCAGTACGGGCTCGAACTGATGGACGGTCGGAGGTGGAGGGGGAGGGTGATCGGCTTCGTCGCCACCTTGCTGGTGCGCTCAAAGTCTCGGCTGGCGGGTGTCCATCTTCGGCCTTGGGCGACTCTGGATCTCGGGCCGGATCATCGGCGATCTGCAGATTTGCACCACTAGCGAATTCCAGTTGTCGCTTTCCGACCGCGATCTTCTCTCTCTTGCGCGCCGCCTCGGGATCCTCTACCTGAGCGTCCGTTTGTTCTGCCTCCTCTGCTGAGATCTCCCACTCAGATTCTTCCAGCTCTAGCTCTTCCTCTTCTTCGCCTTGCTCTTCTTCTTCTTCCTCGTCACTCTTCTCTCCTTCGCAATCTTCACTATAACTCCCCTCTTCCGGTGTCTCTTCCTTGTCGTCCTCCTCAACAGCTTCTTCTTCTTCTTCTTCTTCTTCGATCGCTAACTCCTCGTCTTCAGAGACCGTTCGATCCTGGAAGAAAGCGAGGTCGATTATCTCGTGTGGGTCTAGATATCCCCGCTGCGATGGCGGGTTGCGGCCGCTTCCCGGCTCCTCCAGGCACACTGACCACTCAAGGTACGGCTTCAACGTTCGTGTGAGGACGTGTGGGACCGGGCTCTCGTTGCTCTGCGAGACGATCTCAAGGAGGAGATCGTCAACCAACTGTGCGAGAGGAACGCTGAGTTCCTGCACGATCAGCTGGCGATGGTCGGGCCTCACCGATCGGAACAGGAATCCAAGAAGATTACCCTCCACATCCGTCCTCCAAGCCTGGATGATCAGCAACTCCAAGTACTCGATCCAAGCGCGATGCTCTTCGTCCCTTGTCCACGTGAGTCTCACTCCAACCAGGCACACCGAAAGATCGACGAAGTGTTCACACCAGAGCCTCCACTGCCTTGGATCAAGGAGGGGAACAGCGAGCGGCTCCAGACTGAAAGAGAAGCGAGGGTGAAGACTAGACTCAGTCTGCCAAAAGGTGGGAAAGTGAGATGGAAGGGCGAAGGTGGAGAGTTGGGAGCGGTTCATTGGAGACGCTGAAAGAAGATAAGTTCCAGAAGCACCACCGCCGGCTCGTGCTGGGACGCTCGAATCCCACCAAGATCGATGTCGTCCGTAGGGACAAGATTGTCCCCGTGGCGCATGAACCTGTGGTTCCACTACGCTATCAATTGTTGTCCCCATCCCCTTAGTGACGAACGAATAAGTGTATGTTGCAGCATACTGCCTGGTGACTGTGGACACGTGGACAAGATCGTGCTGATACTGCCTGCTGACTGTGGACACGTGGACAAGACTGTGGACAAGATCGTGCTGATATCGCCGTTGAAGCCGATAACTGTGGACACGTGGCTGATCCCTAGATCTGACCGCCGATGGACAGCTACTGCCTCTGCCAACACAACTGCCTGGTGACTGCTCACGAATTGAAACTCGGCTTCTGTGTATACCCCCGAAGTGCAGAAGAATTGCGCGAGTCGTAGAAGATCCAGATTGAACCGCGGATGATGAACCTGCCGAATCGCTGAGATATAGCCTCGTGGCGCTGGCATGTGATCGCCGATAGCTCGCTCTGTTAGAAAATTCATGGCGATGATGGCAGGGACGGAGTAGGGGAAAAGGCGAGAGATGCAGGGGAGGAAGAAAGTGATGGAGAGTCGTTGTCTTCTTCCGTAGCCAAGGAAGAGGAAGAGGGTGCAGGAGATGGGGAGGAAGGGAGGGGACGCAGGTAAGACACGTGGCGAACGATCGGCTGCGCCGATCGCATTCTCGAGACCTCCGACACAAGGCGCACGGTGTTCACTCCGTTCGGTCCAAGCTCGATCACTCAGAATCGCCCGAAGAATCATGGCGCTATCTTACCTTCGCGAGCACATTTCCTCACCGGCACCAAGTCCCCTAATTTGTTCTGGGGCCGTGGACCCGCATTCCCGTTCCTGGCCTCGTAACTACGGATCTGTCGGCTGTGGGCCAACTCGGTTATTTTCTGGCACTTTCGGGCCAATCGAGGCATGGACCTTTCCATCAATTCCATGTGTCGCTTTGGCCTCGTCTCGAACCGTCGCCCTGGTGGGCCGTCGGTTCAGCGAAGACTCGTCCGGGAGGCTTGGTATTAAAACGCAGGCCACGCTATTGGTCCTTAATTGAAAAGGGCTCAGGCCCGTCGATTCATGGGGCGTCCCTCGATGGACCGCCAGGATGTGATCTACGATATCAGGTCAAGGCCTGGGATCCCTCGCCACTATATTGCGTCGTAGCGCAGTCTTTATCACCCTAGTTGCATTTTCTACCAGCCCGTTAAATTGCGACATATGGGGTGCGGTATTCCGAATAGCGACACCGTGTATGACCAGATTCCTCAAGACTTCTTTCCTGAATTCTACCCCATTATCGGTCAGAATTTCCTCCGTGTCCTTGTGCATCCCTAAAAACCGATTGACGTACTGCGCAATTTTGGCCGCCTGTCGCGTACGACAGGTATACGTCTCAATCCATTTCGAAAAATGGTCCACGAACACGAGTAGGATTGAATATTCACTGCTTCTGGGTCCAGGGGGTACCACAATATCGGTAGTATCCATGCTAACCCTTTGAAAAGACCGTTCGACCACTGTCCGTACTATCGATCTTGGCGGTTGAATCGGCACCTTCTCCGCAGAGAAGACCTGACAGTTCGCAACGATGAACTTCACATCGTCACGGATATTAGACTTATACCATTCATTTTTGTCGATTGCCGACTCTGTAATCCGTACGGCAAAATGGGCAGCCGTTTTTTCATGCGTTGTCTTCACCCAGTCATACCTCATGAACGGGTGCAACACTACCATCCAAATCCCACTACCATCCGTTTTCCGTTTTTCCAACCGTCCCTCATTCCAGCAGTAGTCCCGAGCCCTTTCATCGGCCCTCCTCCGATCTTCCTTGGTGAAGTCCTGGAGGGGGTTACCCACTAGGGTGGCAATCAAAGCGATATTCGTCCATACCTCGACCCTTCTAAACTTCCGGGTCTTCTCTAACCCTTATGACGTGGTGTCAAGAAAGCGAGTCTCGGTTGGGATCTTATCAACCCAACAAAGGGGCACAGTCAAGGCTTACTGTCATTTCGGTATTGGATGCACGAGTCCTGGGCTCGTGCGACACACTGTCGACAATCTATCCATTCCGCATATCCTTTCCCGCTAGGGCGCATAGAGACCGAATATACGCGAGAAATTGCTTCACAAAAATAACAAAAATTATCTGGCAGGGAGAGTAGAGATGAGGAGGAGAAAGGAGAGAGAGAGGTTGTAGGATTACCTCTGTCACCCATTGCCACCTGCCTGCCTCTTGCCACGTGGAAGGACTGCCACTTGTCCGTACTTTGGTCTGTTCGCCGACTTCGGTTCCTTCCACGGGATGCCCTATTCTGCCTTAGGTACCTTAGCTCGTTGATGTAGACATGTCAGTCCGTCCGCGTTGCCAAGCCTCTCCGTCTTCCGATGGATGATGTCGAAATCGTACTCCTATAGGTGCACTGCCCACCGTCCAATCATGCCCGTGTAATTAGTGAGCCTCTTTAGTGCTAGCAAGGGTTCGTGATCAGTGACAAGGAGGAACTTCTGCCCGTACAGATACAGATGGAAGTGTTGGATTCCCTACACTACTGCGTAGCATTCGCCCTGCAGGGCTGAGTCATTCCTTCGCTCGTCTGGAACTGTTCGCAACGAATATTCGATGACAACATAAAAATTTTCCAAAATTAAACAATCATTCTATAGTAAAATTACATTCTAAATTCTAAATTTCACTCCAGCTTGAAAAATGTCATTCCAATTTGAAAATTTTATGTCTTGAACTTTATGTTAGAGATGGAATGAAAGTTTATGTCTTACTTGAAAAGTCTGTATGAGTTCATGAAATATTTTAATTGGATTGTCATTCTATGTTAGGATTTTCAGTCATAAATGGGTTAATCCAATCTAAATTAGAAGACATTTGTTATAGTAGAATGAAAGTTTAATTAAGGCATTTCATAAACTCATCCAGAACTCCATTCCATCTTAAACAAATAGATGTAGTTGGAAGGGAAAACATATTTAGACTTGAACTTATCAAATAAAACTGGAAATTTTAGAAATTGACGAACATTGGAATGATAATTTATAAATATGAAGGATTTTTTTTTAATGGAATGTTTTTTTTAACTTTCATTTCTCATGGGAGTTTTTCTGTTGGACATGTTTGTGGCCATCGTTCCCCTTTTGCGCTAAAATAGCGGAAATAGCCTCCGGCTGTCAGTCCGTGATGAGAATGAACTGCTTCGCCAGGTCCATCCGGATCAAAATAGGTGCCAATGCCAGAGCTTCCTTGAGGGTCGTGAAGGCCTGTTCGCACCCTGCGTCCCAACTGAGGGGTTTGTCCTTCCGTAACAAGTTTGTTAAGGGTCGTGCAGTCACGGCGAAGCCCTTGATGAAATGATGATAGTACGAGGCTAACCTCAAGAAGGCTCGAACCTGCGTCAGTGACGTAGAAACAAAAGCTTTATTCACCACCACGACCTTTCTCGAGTCAGGCCGCAATCCTCAACGTGTCACTACGTAGCCCAAGATTGAAATTTTTGAGAGAAAAAATTCGCTCTTTTCGAGCGCAATCTTGAATCCGGCTTCTATCAGAGCACCCAACGTCCACTCGATATGTTGAGCATGACTGTGATAGGTTTCTGAATAGATCAGGATGTCGTCAATGTACATGATGACGCAGAAGTTGAACATTTCATGCGTTAACCGTGTCTTGTTGACGAAGTTATGAAATGTGACGTTCATGGCTCGCTGAAACGTTGTCGGCGCATTGCAAATCCCCATCGGACTCCGAACCCACTGCCACGTGCCCTCAAACAGTATGAAGGCAGTCTTCGACCGATCTTCCTCCTTAACCAGAATGTGATGGAAGTCGTGCCGAATATCAAACTTACAGAAATAATTAGCACATCCAATCACATCTAGCAAATCATTAATCCGGGGGAGGGGATACACATCTTTGATTATGATGTCATTCAGTTTGTGATAATCAATGCATATGCGAATCGATCCGTTGTTTTTCGGTACTAATACTACCAGAAACGACCATGGTCCGGTGGTAGGTTTGATCCAACAGCTTGCTTCAAATTCTCGAATTTGCTCGAGAGCCTTTCTCCGTTCTACCAGAGAATATCTGTAAGGTTTGCAATGAATTGGGGAATGGTTTTCCGTCTGGATATCATGTTGTATGAGTAACGACAGTCCAACGTCTGTGTCCATTACACTAATCGCTCCTTTGTACTCCTTTAGATTGTCTGCGATTAGGTGGTGAATCTTATCAGGTACATACCGAGGTACGTGCAACTCATACGACTCATCCCATATCCTCACATTGATGTGTTTTGTATTCACCCGCTTGACATCTTCTGGCGGCGAAATGCGCCTGCTGGCCTATCCCTAACGGGTACCCGTGTTCGACGGCAAGGAGGGGGTTTATGACCCTCCACGGGGGGGGTGACAGGCTCCCTACCAATGCGGTCGTGGGTCACCCCCCTTTTGGGGTCCGGTGCAGGTAATATGCGAAGAGTCGGCCCCCGTAGGCCGCAATCACAGTTTAAGCCCAGAATTCAAACCGTTGGTCTCCCTGCGAAATGACAGGCCGAAAGGTAAACCGAGTCTGAGAATCGTGCAAAAAGGAAAATCAAATAGTAATATCAATAATAATAATAATAATAATAATAATAAGAATGATAAGAATAAGAATAAGAATAAGAATAAAAATAAGAACAAGAATTGCAGAAAAAAAAGGATGGCGCTTCATAATTCCTCCACGCAGCAACCTCGCCTGAACAGCGATACGAGTCCACGCGCAAATCTAAAGCCCGACTTTCAACCTTTTTCCTCTTTCTTTCTGTTTCACACTTTTTCTTTTTTAGGCACCACTGTATCTACCCCCAAACACAGCTACTGGAGTCTAGTGCGCGGTTGAAATGTCTGCACGGGTTATCCCTATCACGTCCCTGCACCTGGCCCGGATCACAACCATCAGGACTAGACGGTCCTTTCAACTCCATGCAGGCCAGGTTACCTGATAGCAACTGCGACTCATAGATTGAGCCACTGGCCATCCCCGAATTAAAGCAAATGCTCAGGTCATTGCATAGGTTTGACAGTTAGCTTTCATTTTCTTTTCCCATATTTTCTTTTTCTTTACTTTTCTCTTCTTGGTCCCTTTTTTTTTTTATTTTATCCGACAGCGACATCTGCCCTGTGCACCCGACCCACAACCTGGCAAAGGGGGACTCGATGCGCAATAGATAAAGCAGT